TTATTTCAGACCATTAATCCTTATTATTCTCTGTTTTAAATATTTTACATATAATTTATTATGTTCAGTTTAATTTGATTTGTGTTTTTTAACAATAATGTTTACTCCTTTCTTATTTTATACACCATTCCCTAAAAAAGGAAAAAAAATCATAAAAAAACATTTTGTTAAAAAAAAAATCTGTTCGACAGCACAGCATTTAAGTTACAGAGGGACATTCATTAAATAATATTTACTGTAATAGCATCAGAAATGAGCCATTGAATTCTTATTCTCAGATTCTATTGCTATTTGAATTGCTTTTCAGTTTCTTGGAGTTAATGAGTCAGCATCTCACGTCAAATAATACATTATAAATTATTAGATTAGTTATGTTACAATCTGAATAATGACAGCCTCTGCCCTCTGTATATGATTTGCATGCATTTATAATGAAGGTCGGACAAGTCAGGTTGAAACGGAAAGCGGTAAGGTGTCCCTGGTCACACATGTATTGCAAATACCAGTCGAATTGTGGCTGAATTGCACTACATGGCCGCTTTAGAGGCACCGGAGAAGCAGTGACTAGCTTTGCTCCGAGAGACTAAAAATGTACTAAATGTATCTGTTTACGAAATGTATCTGTGTATGGAATAAAACCACTCACCCTTCTTACCAATACTGACCTTCACCAAGCAGAGAAACACATTTTATCATACAGAGAGACTATAAAAGCATGCACCTTCCTTTGTGTGTAAGCAGCCATGGATAGGCGAGGAAGGAAGGATTGCTATGTGCACATTCTAGAACATAGTTGCAGACTGCAAAGACAGTCTGCAATACTCTACACTGTCTTACTGCCTCTTTCCTAATGCAGGTGGCAAAATAGCATTTTTTCCTAAATGCTAATATTTCAAAACCATTTTTAGTATATCAAGATAAGAGAAACTATTTTATCCCAAAACAACTTTTTATTCACTATAATATTTTTTTGAATGATAAACAGTTAAATGCATTGTTCCACTGCCCACCTTCCATCAGGGGGTGGAAGATAAGATATACAATAAGGAAGCCTTCCCTGAGGGTGAATAACTGACAGATGCAATTTGCAATGGAAGCCCTGCCTGCTGTATATGTCTAGCACTGCTTCATAGATGAGTTTTAATACTTATAACATATACTAGCTCTCTGATATTTTCCTCAGTAGTAGGTTTTTTCCTCTTTTTCCATGCTTTTCCCCCATATTATTTTCATTGAGAGAAGGCTCAAGTTGTCTGGCAGTTGTCCGTTTGTGTTTCTTTAAAGTATGCATTGCGTAATACACTTTTTTATGAATCTCCGAACAGTATTTCATATTAAAAAATGTTCTTTCGTCCAATGTTTATGTGCTATCTATTTCATGTTTCATGTCAATTTGTATTTTCTAATTAAAATAATTTGATTCTTATTTTTTTGTGAACAAAATCATCTCACCAGCGAAGATATTAATGTATCAAAGGATACGGGATTTTCTCACTTCACTTCAGAACAAAAATCTCAATGCTATAGTTTCTATCAATCATTCATATAATGTGATCTCTTTTAATGCAAACCCAATGGGCCATTTCACAACCACTTGGTTTGACAAACAAGTGTTCAGACTGGTTCACTATTAGTCTTGTTTTTAGAAAGCAGAGGTTTCTTTTAACAGCCCACCACATTGGTAGTTCCAGTCATTAACCTGTGCCTACAGAATCATTTCCTGATGGGCAAAGTAGGCAGTTACCTATAGGAGCCTTTCGACAAGAGCATCTACCGTGACCACAAATGTACATGTTTTTATTTATTTTTTAATTATGGAGGAAAAAAGAAATGCTCTTTCTAATTACATTTTTTGGAGGTCAGTCATGGGGCACCTTATACTTTTGCACCTTTAGGCCTACACCAAGAAACCAGTTGAGGTAGATCGTTAATGGATTATTTTCTACGTTTTCAAATAATACATGATCTATATCCATAACCCCTCATTTTGACCTTCCGTTTCCCTTCTTAAATCTATGGAACTGTTTTGGGCAGGAAAATGTGCTTGCGGTCGGTCATAAAGGGACCTCCAGCTAACTTTTTAACCCCTGGATGGATTTGGCTGATTTTTGGTTATGTTTATGTTTTAAGTGTGCTGATTCCAAATATGTAATTATGAAGATGGGATGTGTAGTTTTAAAGTTACAGTGTATGGCTAAAAACTGTATTTTTACTGCCTGTGTTTAATTATGTTAATCTCTTCCCAAAAGTCATTTCGTTCAAAGTGGAGAGAATGTTAAAAATATATTTTGTTAGAGATTCTTGAGAAATGCTTTTCAGCCGCTTCTAATCTTAAGCATCATTTGAGGGAGCCATACAGGAAGAAACCTTATTTGTGGTGTGTTTAGTATTTTTCTGATCAGTTTAATACCTTCCGCGTCTCCTATCGGTGGACGTGTATATGGCAGCCATTTTAGGAACCGTACACCTGGGACCCGAGCAAGGTCACCTCGTTCAACAGGCGACAACATTTGTCCATGGAAAACTATCCTGGACATTCTGTACAATTTGTATGGATATGGCATTGATTTTTGTAACAGGGAGATGGAAGAAGAGGCTTGGTCGGTCCTCTTACTGCAAATTTGGGGCACTGCGCGGTCAAGCTAATGTGCCACCAGATAGGAGTGGTGTGTTTAGTATTGTTCTGATCAGTTTAATACCTTCAACGTCTCCTATCAGTGGTCGTGTACACGGCATTGATTTTTGTAACAGGGAGATGGAAGAAGAGGCTTGGTCGGTCCTCTTGAGGCTTGGTCGGTCCTCTCCAGGCTCTTTACCATGTGAGTTGGACATACATCTTCTTCCACTCCATTCACACCTTACAAGCATACTGCACTATGATGTGTATTTTCTTGTTGTAGATTTTATTATGCTGTCTGCCCCTTAAAGTGATATATACGTTATTCCAATTGGGGTAAGAATTTGATATTTAGCGCTCCACTGAGTGATCTTTTGGTGGTAGTACGATCCACTAAGTTCACTTTTTTCTTTCACATTGTGTTTGTGTAGGATTGGGATACCTGCATGCGTGTTTGAGCTGCTGTTCTATTTATATATTATTGTTAAGCGCCTAATTGCACAGAGCACCTTTTTCTTATACATGTTAAGTCCCTTTAACCTTTCCTTGTAAGTTTTATCCTGCAATCCATGAACCAGGTTAGTAGCCCTTCTCTGAACCCTCTCTAAAGTATCAATATCCTTCTGAGGATACGGTCTCCAGTACTGAGTACAATATTCCAAGTGAGGTCTCACCAGTGTTCTGTACAATGGCATGAGCACTTCCCTCTTTCTACTGCTAATACCTCTCCCTATACAACCAAGCATTCTGCTAGCATTTCCTCCTGCTCTATTACATTGTCTGCCTACCTTTAAGTCATCAGAAATAATCACCCCTAAATCCCTTTCCTCAGATGTTGAGGTTAGGACTCTATCAAATATTCTGTACTCTGTCTTTGGGTTTTTACGTCCAAGATGCATTATCTTGCACTTATCCACATTAAATGTCAGTTGCCACAACTCTGACCATTTTTCTAGTTTACCTAAATCATTTGCCATTTGGCTTATCCCTCCTGGAACATCATCCCTGTTAAATATCTTAGTATCATCAGCAAAAAGACATACCTTACCATCAAGACCTTCTGCAATATCACTAATAAAAACATTAAAGAGAATGGGTCCAAGTACAGATCCCTGAGGTACCCCACTGGTGACAAGCCAATGCTTCAAATATACTCCACTGACTACAACCCTCTGTTGCCTGTCACTCAGCCACTGCTTTACACATTCAACAATATTGGAATCCAAACTTAAAGATTGCAGTTTATTGATAAGCCTTCTGTGTGCAACAGTGTCAAAAGCCTTACTGAAACCTAGGTAAGCAATGTTTACTGCACCACCCTGATCTATTATTTTAGTTACCCAATCAAAAAACCAATAAGATTAGTTTGGAATGATCTCCCTGAAGTAGACCCATGCTGTCTCTGATCTTGAAATCAATGTGATTTTAGATGTTCAACAATACTATCCTTTAACATGGTTTCCATTACTTTCCCCATTACTGACGAGATATCTGTTCCTCCATTACTACACCTATGTCACTACTAAAAACAAGTACACCTTCAGTTGCCAACAATTTTAGTGATAACTAGAAGATTATAAATTTAAATTAGAAGGTAAATAAGAAGATTAATGAGAAGAGTAGGATTGGGTATAGGGTTAATTTAGTTATGGCCTTCAATCTAACTATATTATTTTGCAGTATTAAGAAAACAGGCCACCACTTGTAACCTAATTCATCAAACCTGTGTCAAATGTGTGAAATGAGCAAGGCATATAAAGCATATAAACTCAACAAGTAACAGCTGGAGGTTGTCCTAAAAGATCTATCACTTATCAACACAAATTGTCAGGAAACATATTAAATGGACTTTCCACATTCCTAAAATACAAACATGAATCTAATATAACATCACTAATATCATCCTTTTTTGAAATGGACATAGTCAGAAGGTAAATACAAAAGTACAAAAGCGGTGAAGCAGTAAGCAGACCTTGTTGTTGCAACAGCTACTATAAATCTTAGATAGGCAGTTAGATTTCTAGTTTCATGGACGCAAGCGTGCGAAGGAACTAACCAGTCGCACAGGGCAAAGAGCACTATCTGCTGAGGCAGGCATGGACACCCATGTACCCCGCCCCCTTTAGTCAGACTTGGAACGGGGAATGAACAGCAAAACTGCCTGAGGGGAAAGGGAGACATGAGCAGCTTGGATACCGCGGCCCACCAAGCTGGATGATGGAGCTGCCAGCTCCCCCACCCGGAGTGCACCATGAAAAGCTAGGGCAAACACTGCCTGAAAAAGAGAGAGCTCAAACGGAGAAGAACAAACTAATGGTAAAGCAAGCAGGAACAATATCAGACGAGCACAGGATTATGGGTTCCCGAGTGCCCAGCGGACGAGACTCTGACCAACTCGAACCTTTGAGAACCTGCCTAACCATGAAAAACCTTGAAGGATCTGGCTTACCTGCAAATCTCATAATGAATAAAAGGGCAGCGAGCCTGGTCCCCACCATAGCTCTAGAAAGGCCACGGGAACGCAATGTAACCAGCCAACTCAAAAATGTCCCCTGTGAGGCCTCCACATCACGAACCCCGATATCCATAGAGAAACTGACCCATTCGCTACAGCAGCGGATGTATGACCTCCAAGTTTGAGGGGCCAGCGAAGCTCTCACCAAGGAGAAAAGGAGCTTCCATTGTCCATCATCTGCCAGAGAAAAGGAGGACAATCAGTGCCCAGAGCTGCTGCCGATGGAGCAAAGGATCTAAAAAGATCCCACTGAAAACGTGACAAAGCATCTGCCAGCGTATTATTGACCCTGGGAACATGTCAAGCTACAAAGTGAATATTGTTTTGCATGCAAAGGAGAACTAGCAAACGGAACAACCTAACCACAAAGATGCAGACAACCGGTTGTTGGCCTGAAACACTGACCGGTTGTCATTACAAAAAATAACTGACCGGTCGCGGAAACACAAGCACCACATCTCCACTGCCACCAGTATGGGGAAAAGTTCCAGTAAAGGTTTCTCGTAAGGCCCCTAGCATGCCACGAAGGCAGCCACTGGGCGGCACTCCAGGATCCCTGAAAACAAGCCCCGTAACCACAAGAACACAAAGTGTCTGTAAACAAATGGAAAGACTGCCATAACCGGACTCCATTGAAGTCCTGCAAAAAACACCCCCAGACGCGTAGATCCTCCAACATGTCCTTAGACAAGGAAATCTTAGCTTTGACCTTAGGACTGCTGCGAAGGGCCATCTCCATATCCCTTTTGAAAACCCGGCCCATGGGAATAACCCTGCAGAAAAAATTGAGGAGCCGTACGAACCGAAAGCAGCGTCCTATCAACTTTGCCCTGTGATAGCCTGCTTTGCATTAAAGAGGTGTCTATTTCAATGCCCAAAAAGGAAAGCTCTTGTGTAGGCCCCTCGGACTTGTCCTCGGCCATGGGAGCACCAAATTCTGCCAAGAGACTTCTCATGATGGTCATCAAATAGGAGCAATGAGGCGAGCCACTAGGACCCACAAGGAGGAAATCATCCAAGTAGTGCACTACCGATGTGCTGCCTGCAGCCGTGGCCACGGCCCAGTGCAAAAATGAACTGACAGCTTCAAAGAAGGCACATGACACTGAGCAGCCCATCAGTAAGCACTTATCCACGTAATAAGCAACTTAAAACCCATCCACTGAAATGAAGAAGGGTGGAGCGGGAGAAGGCATAAAGCAGACTCAAGCTTCGCCATCAAAGCTCCCTGGCCCACTTGTTGGACCAACGCCAGAGCATCATCAAACGGCTGGTAGTGGACCGAAATAAGGGCTGGACCAATGGCGTCATTAACTGACGCCCCGGGGTACGACAAGTGTTGAATGAGCCTAAATCTTTGGGAGAGCAAAGGGGCCTGCTATCCTACCCAGAGAGACCTCCTTAGATAATTTGTCTCTGACCACTTGGGGGAAAGAATAGGCAGATTGCAGATTTCTTGGCTGAAACTGGGATCATAAATCCCTCCAAAGACTAGACAGAAGCCAATCAGCTTGCTGCCAGAAAGGGTAAAAAGTCAGCCACCTCTCAATTGCGTCCACCTTCAATTGAGTGGGGTTGGCGCCTTTGAGAGAGGAGAATGAGTGACCAGAGGAGGCATGCGACTGAGAAGGTCGCTTGCACTCCGCTCCAGGATGGCCACACCCACAGGATCTTTAGATGTGAAATAATGCGAAAGGAGCAAGCAGCTCCCTTATCACATTGGTTATCATGGAATTTCCAGCATTCGCACCCCTTCCAGCCGCCACGGTAAAAGTGACGGCTGCGTCACTTCCGATGCGCGCAGAGTCGCCCATAATTATTTTTTCCCTTTTTCTAAACACCTGAGACACACCCAGGTAATCCCCAAATCCTGGACTGGTAGGGGGTCCTCAGGACTGGGTTGAGAACCCCTGTTTTAATGTAATGTTTATAGGAATTTTATTTATTTATTTATGTATTTTACATTTGTATTTTATTATTTTCGAAAATGCAAAGTGGGATACAGAAGGAAAAAGGGGTGAGTGAATGGGGGTACACACGTTTTCTGCATTGTTCACAACGGTTGACAATTAGTAAGACAAATGACAATTGGTACATATGTTCACATTGGCACAGTAGTTTGATTGCTTGCGCGAGGCAGTTTTATGTTACTTTTGTGAGCGTTTTTGCCTCTATTCCTGTACTGTTAAACGCCTAGATTCTTGTTAAGTGAGGTATTAACAACCCTTCTTAGCTAGGGTTGGATGTCCGGAGGGTCGGTTAGGCGTTATTGGCTACTGTTGCGTTTTCCTTATAACTTGTGGTGGTTCCTCAAGGCCAATTACCCCCTAGTTGGGAGTTTGCAGTGTGTGTTGAGTCGACTTCGGTCATGTTGGCTAAATAGGTATGTCGGTGGGTATTACCCCATGGTGGGTTGAAAACTTGGCATAGAATATCGGGGAGGGGAAGCTTGGGTTGGGTGGTGATGTGGGGGTGGGGGAGAGCGGGTGAGTGCGTCAAACTTGTACCTGTGTTTTGTCTTTATCTGGGTTCATCCGAGACTGGGTTTAGGGCACGTACATAGGAGGGCTATTACTTTTGCTTACTTCCATTACCAGTCCCCATTATTCACATCCATCCCTCTTGTTGTTTATAGGGATTTTTAATGGATTATTTTCATTGTTCTCAGCTTCAGCCTGTAGTGTGCCTTCAAATAAATATAAAAAAAAGTATATATTATAAATAATGATAAAATAAAAATTTTAATAGTGTTGCTAAAACCCTGGAGTTTATTGACTGAACACCAAATTGTAATGAACTGAAATCAAATTGCAAGATTTAGGCTAAAATAGTATATCTGGTAAAATCCTTCAAATTGGCTATAGTAATAACTCGGCAACTTTTGCCTAAATTTTGCAATTTGCATATAAATTCATAAAAAATCAGTGTTTAGTAAACAGACTTCCACACCTGGTTTACTGGAGGTTGGCACTGGAGCCTGGATTAAAGTGAAACAAAAAAGTGCACATTATTAATATTTCATGACCCTTAGTTAGCTACCAAAACAATAACTTAATTTCTCAGTTAGTATTTATTGTTTTTACTTTAGTGACCGTATGATTTCCATGGGTGACTTTTGATGCATAAGAAATTGTCCTTTCAAATTAAAGGGGCACTTCAGTTATCACATAGAATATCAGTTGTCAATATCTCATAATCAGGCTAAGTTTATTATATTGTCCTCTTGTTTTCTGCATCCCATGAATGTAAAGGGTTAAATTAGATATGGTCAACTCCTCAGATCTTATTCTCAAACTAGATGATTTACCAACCTGGTAATTAATGCAGAAAAAGAGCATGTAATTAACCGTATGATTTATATTGCTAACTATGTGTGTGGTCTCTCCACAATCATTCCACTGACAGTAAAATGCTGTTTTATTTTTATCTTAACCCCTTCACTTTCAAGGGAGATGGAAATGTATGTTTACTACATATAGGTTTATAACCATGTTCCACTATTATGAGATTAGAGTTACCCATACCATATTATATTCTATGTAGCTATAGCTGGTAGCTAGTCAGACCCATGTTTGCTTGTAAGGTTGATAAGGTCTGTTATTTTCTTTGCTGATAACTAGACAGGACTACTATCAGTTTTTACTAGCCAAGCATTGTTTGACTCATTCAACTAACTTATTGAAAAGGCAACTGAAGAAAAGTTAGTACTTAGTGAGTAAACCCCTTTTAAAGTTTCCACGCAACTTTAAATAATGTCTTGAGGGAATACATTTTAAAGTTAGTCTCAAGTCAATATTCTGTAGATAGGTGACTTTAGAGGTGGCTCTATAATTAGGCCAGTAAGGTGACTATGGCCTCACGCTTGCTTAGGGCTCACTTCATGCCAATCCTAGCACCTTGCTGTTACTGTGAGCACCTCAACTGGGATCTATTATTTTAGTTTTGTTTAACTCCTTGCAAACTAGGCTCTAGAGCAGGGATAGGCAACCTTTGGCACTCCAGATGGACTACATCTCCCATAATACTCTTACACCCATAATGCTGGCAAAGCATCAAGGGAGGTGTAGTCCAAAACATCTGGAGTACCGAAGGTTGTGTATGCCTGCTCTAGAGCCTCCTCTGGGAGACTTGCTTTGATTGTACTATCAGATCAGTTTTACAGCCACTACAGGCACTTCCTCATTGAACACCTATATTCTAAGGTCTTCAGATTCAGAAGCATCACACGGCATTATGATGACAAACAAGTCCACTAAGCACTAGATTGGTCAATTGTCATCATTACTGACTTCACTGGGAAGGTTGAGTGGCCACAGCTTTATTAATAACTTCTTGCCAGCATCTTAACTCTGTCAGCTGTTGGGGTGTTTCACCAACAGACAGCTCTATCCAATATGAACCACAAGGCCAGAGCAGCCTTCCCCTGCCATCAGCTCTCAGCAGGCTGTGACTCCCCAAGCCACTTGGGCACCTTCTTCCATTTTAAACACCGCTGGCCAGGACTACCACGAGCTGTGACCAAACAAAAACCCTATTACCCCTTCTTATGATGTCTCTAAGTTGAAACAGTGTATCCTCCTAGTACCATCCCCTTATCTCTGTCAACAGTCATGTCCTCCCTTCCTTATCTTTCAAGGGAGGTTTTTGACTGCTGACCTGAAAGCCTCCAACCACCCGTTGCCCAATAAATACACAATAACACTTGATATGGGTAAGGGCAACGGCCACAGCTTTATTAATAACTTCTTGCCAGCATCCTCACTCTATCAGCTGTTTGGTTGTTATACCAACAGACAGCTCTATCCAATATAAACCACAGGTCTGGAGCAGCCTGCACCCGTAATCAGCTCTCAGCAGGCTGCGACTCCCAAGCCGCTTGGGCACCTTCTTCCATTTTTAACTGCGCTGGCCAGGACTACCGCAACCCCCGATGACAACCTAACTGCCCCCCTAGTCGGCACCCAAATAAAGTGAAAGGGTTCCCGAATACCCACCATCGACAACGACAGCCGCCTGCAAAAAGCCCAAACCATGGGAAGGACATGGCATGCAAAGGCCAAGTGCCCCAGCAGCACCTGCATTTGCTGCAACTGAACCTTCCTGGCC